TTAATCATGATCAACTAACACATTTTTAAACACAGACATCCTTGTCCACACCAAGGGAAAAATCATTTTCAACATCTTGTTTAATTAACATGTTTTCTAGTATATTTTCTCAGTGTAGACAAGGTCTCTAAGGAAGAATGACTCATGAATGTTGCATTGCCATTATGGAGTATTTTTTGGAGTAACTTTCCATTTCTCCACATTTTCTAAGGAAAGCATTGATTTGGCTCATTACCTAAATGATTAATTAATGTTTTCCAGGAACTCCAGGGTCCCATTAGTTAATCCRATGCCACACTGCTAAATAGAATCCTGGGTAAGAGTTAAAATAAGTGTCACTTTCCTGAAGATATAGATCTTTCCCAGCATATTCAATATATTGCTGTGCGGTTTTCCTTGGAGCTTACTTAACATGTAGTGCAACTGGGAAGGGCACAACATGACTGTCTCCCTAGGAAAGCAGTAGGCCTTGACTGCTGCTTATCTCATGGTGAACCTGACATTTTATGGTCTTTTCTGAGAAAGATATACCCATGCAGGACAGGTAAGGACTAGTGTAAATTAGTCTTTGTGCAATAGATTGCCGAGTCACTTTCATCCAAGCATTGGTTGTTCTTCAAACAATGCTGTTATAGTCAAGGAGATGTTCCACACTTCAGAGAGTGCTTGTCAAACAAAATGTTTCAGCCAACAGACAAACCAAATTAAAAAGAAACCTTGTGTTTTCATTAGGATTCAGAGATCAGCATAAGAATTTTTCTGTCAGACATATATTCTCAGAAGGAAATGCATGATACACATAAAATATTTATGATCATTTCTTACATTGTAACTATATCTATGTAAAAGCCAAAATAAATACATACTGTTCCAGCTATACAATATACAGTGCCTGACGTGTTTATTGCTACATTTTCTATGACCAGTCTCCTTTCTGTTGTGTTTCTCCAGTGACTATGTTATTCCAGGGAAATGAGTAACACAAGGGGAGGAGAGTACATAATGACTCCTGTGCTGTGAAGGGGGTTGTCTGAACTAACACACATGCATCATGCTCCACATCTCTTGGGTCGGTGTTRGAGCACCCTTTCAGGGTGTAGTGGGTAAACTACAAAAGTTTCTTTGCAGGGCAAATCAGGTACTTCACACTTTTCAAGTCATAGAAACAGAAAGCAATAATTTATCTCATAATTCAACTTTTTACCTGTCCTATCTAGCAAGCGCTATTAGCTGGATATGTTACTTTTTCTTCCTCTTCAGTATTGGAGTAGATGTGGGAACTCCTGAGGAAATGAGGGGAGTTATAGTCCTGTGCTACTGATATCTCAAAGTTYTGATTGTGACCAAATGGATAATCAGAGTGTGTTTTAGAGTTGTAGTGACGTGTTCTATGATTATTGATGCAAGATTTGTGAGTGTGATGGAAYAGGAGAAAATAGACCAGGGGAACCAAAAGAACCAGCAGTCACCAGAATGTTTACTTTGAAAAGACATGCATACTTGAAGATGGTCAGTTTGAAATTTTAAATACAAATTTTACTTGCRGAAGGATATGTAGTGTAATCCATAATACAAAGAAAATCCTAATAAAAACAACAACAAAAAAAAAGCTTTAGTGAGAAAGGTTGGTTAGRGGGTCACTATTTTCTGTCATTTTCTTCCCTCTGTGAATTTAGTTAATCCACAAAATGTTTTTATGTAGTAGAAGCCTGGACTTTCCTCTTGGTTGTTGATATTCCACTTGTGTGCACTGCTAGGGTGTCAGTGASGATAGCTAGCTGTTTCTTCCACTCACAGATTATTTTAATTATGTCTCAGTTTATGGTTAGCTTCCATTTTCACAAGGAATCTTTTTCCACCCAAAAAGAACAAAATAGACTGACCTAGTAATTCTTCTTGTATCTCCTTCAGGCTCTTATTCGGCGAGTGAATCTGAGTTATTTTAAACATAACTAGACCATCATAAATCACTTCTAGTTAGCTCACGTGTGACATCACCGAGAAAACCCAGTGGGATGTTTAGAATGTTTTTGGACAATCTGTCTGTAGCTATGTTAAGTATCTTACRAAAATAGAGCCAGTAAACAGTAGTCTTTAGAGTGTGGCAACCAAATATATATAGTGCTGTGAGATTGTCTCCYTGGCAGATTGAGTTTTCATACTGCTAATTGCCTTTACAAAGCTGATGAACATTAGCTTAAGCAATAGCAATATGTTTTATTTTACTGGGCATATCTCAGAGTACTTGTAATTTAGTAGGGCCACCACACTCTCTGGGCAGTCTATCAAGTAGGATGTTGTAATGATCTGCATGACTACTACAGTAGATGGAAAAATGTAGCTTGTGTTTGTAGCTGTTCCATTAGCATCTTGCACAGTTTGCGCTCCTTTGGTGCTCTTTGGAGAACTGTGTAATAATCCCAGCATCTTTTGAAGAGTTGTCTCTGGTGAAATCAAGTAACTATACACCATTTAAAACCTAGTGCATAATTAAAAGATGAGACAAAGGAAAGATTGAGAAGGGCAGATAACCAATAGAATCCTGAAGTTATCAAAACAGATTTCTTGCCAGAGAACTTGGAATTCATCTGATTCAATTGCTGGAAAAATGCCCGAATTAAAAATTGTCCTATGAGGACCAAGGAAATAGAGACAAATTCTGGCACTCTACAGTTTTCTCCCAAAATGGACATTAATGCTACAAAAACAGAATAGGGTGAACAACCTCCTGGCCCAACGCTTGGCCCCCTACTGTAGACTGAATCTGCCAAAACAAGATGGAACAGAAGATCAAGAAATTGAGGTTGGGRGGAAGGGGAGGAGAGGTTGGAAAAGGAGGGTGATTGGAAAGGAAAAAGCTCATAGACTGTGCCCCCTGCCAGCACTGAAACACTCCACTGCTGCTCCACTTGTAAAGCACCTGTTGGCAGCTGTGAAGTAGTTTATAGGTTTTGGGACGGAGTCAGGATGGAAAAGTTATGGTCTCTGTTCCCTTATGTGACAAGTGATTTGGTCCTTATTTTAGTAAAATATAAGTCATTCCTAAGCATTTAATTAATGCAAGTACAGTGATAAATGTACCTGTTCAGAAATAGCAGCTACAATCTTTGCTTTCTAGAAAAAAATATAATTAAAACAATTTCAGTTGCATGTTTCTAAATGACTAATGTGAATACTCTGTGGCTTGTGTCACCTATTTTGTTCCTTTTTTTTTTTTTCCCCAGAATAGAAAAACAAGTGCAAGGTTGAAAGAGAAGAAGGAAAATATGATAAAATAATGTTTGAATATTAAATTCATAGAGTCATTCAAATCCAGGGCTGTGTTAAAATGGATAGTATAAAGGGGATATTGGCTAATTTTGTATTTTCTGAAAGCTTTAGAAGAGTATAAAAAAGTATAAAGAGTATAAAAGCATATAAAGAGTGTAGTGACAGAGAAATAAAGTGATTTTTCAGTCTTTACGACCCAAAAGTAGGATTTTTTGGAGAGTCAGGTTCTTGGAAATAATATTTGATACAGAAATTTGATTTGGACCTAAGGTTCAACAAATTGTGTGCTATGGAAGTATACAAACTAGTGATCTTCAAATACAGGGTTTTTTTTAAATATTCTAAAACAAATCTGTATAGAAAAGTTGCATAGAAGTAAAAGTTAACACAATCTAATTTAGACCACATACAACATCATGTTGCAATTAAACATCACGGATAAGGATGTATTCCTGTTAATTGTACATATTTTCTAAAATTCGTGTATCAGATGTTTAATTAATCTCTATACAGAAACATATTTCTGCATTCTGAACTTAAATAAATAAATAAATAYCTGTGTGATGAAAGATGAAAGCCTAAATTTGTGCCATAAAATTGTAGACTGAATGTCATGTATAATTTAGTTACTTTACTTCATAGGTGTGGTCCATCCACATGGAGTGTGCTTCTGTATTAGAAATTGTGCGTATTTAKTAGTAGTAAAATAAGAAATAGGTGAAACATATTCAATCTTTATAATCCTTACAGTCTTCAGAAATTGTTTTTGYCTGTTATAGGGTTACATTAATTACTGTGGATAAAATGAGCATAGCAAATTCAAAACAATAATGATCTAGTATTTTGAACATGCATTTAACATATTTTCTCATATTTTAAAACCATTAGGATTATTATAATCGTTTTTATCACCTCTTTATATTGCCAAATCTTAAGAATATACTTTTTTTTTCTGTAATTGTGATCAATATCTTGTAGCAAATTTCTGGACTTCGCATGAGATGGCAGGTGGGTGGAAGAAAGTGACAGGACCAATCTTCAAGTCAGGGGTGGATATCAGGGATATTCTACACCTCTTGTCTCTCCCTTCTTCCAGCTGACATTCTCCCTTCTTGGACTTGGAAAGTCCCCAGCACATGAGAACTTAACAAGTGCAGGAGGAGCGGAAAAAGGAGAAGCTGGTGCTTCTTGTCAGAGTGTTCACACAAGGAAGCATTAGGACAGGATGAAGGACCAGTAAGGCTGARACTTGAATAACCTGCTCAAGAGTTAGCTATAGTTTTAACAACAAGTTTTTTCTGAACCTCCAGCACTGTATTGCATAATGATATTGMTGAAGATTAGTCTTATACGGCAAAGAAGCCAGTACTAACCTGAACTCCCCTCTTTCAGTTGTATCTATTATCTATTTGTCATGTCAGTCAAATGTTCCTGGTGTTCCTAAGTCAGAAAACTGAGCAAATGCCTAATATGATCACACAGCTTATGTCCTTACATTCCCAACTACCGCAGTCAACAACCACAACTGCTTAGTTTGCAATCTAAAATCCCTTGTGACTGTAAGAATACAATGCAGAATATCTTTATTATATGAGCTATGTAAGTACTGTATCATCAACGCAAGTTTTACTTTTTTACYTGCTTTTCAAACTTTAAAATCTAATTGAATCATTGAAAATTAAACTGCTGCTTGTACAAAAATTTATTAAGTCTTTTTTATTATTTTTTAGGCCTTGTAGAAATTTGCCTGATGCATCCCCTTGATGTAGTAAAAACAAGGTAAGATTCTGCTTGAACAGGTTTTGTTGACACTGGAAGATGTCCAAATTAGGAGCTGTCAAAAAAACAAAATGTTAGAGCTTCTCTGAGTAAGATAACTTCTGCCTTTAATGGCATTTGTATTTACTTACCTTTTTCTAACAGCWTTTGACAGATGGAATTTCAATAGCATGACACATATTTGTTTAGAGGTCATCCAAAGGTGGTGAATGTGTTTTATGAACAGTATGTTTTTACACTGTAAGGCAATTCTATTATATAAAGATGGCTATAGTTAAATTTGATTACTCTGTTTATCATCTTCATTAATATGTTTATATGTAACTGGGAAATACTTTCAAAATCATTTTCACAGATTTTTTAGACTTGATGAGAGCATTTCTTGTCCCTGTTTCTATTCTGCATATTTGTTTTTATGTGAGTATYGATGATGAATTGATCTGGAAAATTTGGTCCTGTGATTTTTGTCTTGATACTTTGTTCACTAAGTGGGGAAAATAGTTGTATTAATCATATCTTGAATACTCTGGCATTTTTCTGAGCTTTTCAATGTTCATATCTTTATTCATAAGTGAGTGGTTTTTTTTCATTTCTATTCCAGAGTTTCCTGTTTGTTTGCTTGTTTTTTTTCTTTGTATTTCGAATACTTCAAATACTGATCATGATTTGGGAAGGGAAAACATTGAATGGTATATTTATAAAGTTGTATTAATATAAAAATAATAATAAAAATAGGAACCCTTTAAATATGAAACTTGAATCCATAAACATTGAAATTAAAGAAGAAAGCAGAAAGAAATAAAAGAATAGTATGTGGGGGAAATCTGGTTCAGATTCATGGTTAAGGGTTGAATCAACTAAAAAGCCACTAGGCAAATTTCTTCATGTCTTCTATTGACTAGACTGTAACTCTGTGGATTCGGAAGATCCGATAACTTGCACGTTATTTTTCCTAGGATGATCCCATTCTTCATCAATGGGATGAAGTAGAGATGAAAGGCATTAAGGTGCTAGTGTTCTGTGCCCTCCTGGTGCAAGTATATTCAGAGATACAGCTCAGATTTTGCAATAATTCTCTTGCTGATGCTAGCATGTGTTAGTACTTACAAATAATTGTATCTTGTAAACCAATGGCAAACCAAGAATGGAACATACTTTCGTCTGATATGTCATTCGGTGCCATATTCCTAACACCAAGTCACCACTTTGCCTTATGTCATAGTCCAAAATTGTTGAAACTACTGTAACAGATAATTATTTATGAGGTGGTTTGGAGACGTTCAAATGAAACACAGTCTTATAAGTCTTGCATTAAGAATGTTTTCTAACACATTTTATTCTCTTGTTGAGTTTTCTTGTAAGTGTTACGGCTCAGTGCGCTCACTCTTCTTCAACATAGTATTGATAATCCATCATTTCTTAATTACTTTCAGCTATTTGGCTTTTTGCTTATGTCAGAGTGAAAGGATTCATAGAAGCACCATTTGTTTCTTAATTTTTATGTTGCTTTGAGTTTTCTGTATTTCCTTCTACAAATCGAATGTTCAGTTCTGTGACCTTTTCAATTAGTGAAACTTTAGTTGATCTAAATGTGGAGTCTGAGGAGCTTAGGGATGATGCCAGACGCTCATGTCTAGTGAATGTGTAGCTCAGAATCCCTGCTTGGTTGTTATAGGTTTTGTGTATGTTTTTAATAAAAATTTGGAAAAAGGAAAGTTCCTCTCTCAGATTTTGAAATCTTGGAAAATTATTTGGCTCTTTTGTGACAATGTTTTGCAATATGTTTGCTGTGTTTAGTTATTTTCTATTATTCTACAGTAACAATACTGAACTTGTTTATCCATAGTATGTTTGGGACATGGGGAGAGGACAAAGAAATGTGTTTTTTAAGCTGTAGACAAGCAATGTGCCTAATGAAGTATTTTATGGTAAATATATATTTCAAAATAATTTTATTTTGTTCTCAGTTACTACCAACACCAAAGAAGATTGCTACTTTGGTAGCTTCACATAAATGATCTAGTTAAATGGAGATAACTGTAATCAGTTATTTTAGCCGTATGAATCTCACTTCTTTGAAATTAGAAAATTGGAACATCTGTTCAGTTTAATACCTCTCACAGTATCACAAAGAACCGTTGTTTTACTTGATAGATATACAGGTGACTATGATTGTCACCTGTAAATTAAATAAAGAATTGAATCTCTGCTCTTATCCTCCTCTATAAAAGGAAGTTTTACAATATTTGGTAAGAGTTACTATTCCTGTGTCCTCCCAGGTGTGAATAAGGAGAGCAGTAGCAATATGTTTTTGGAACAGATACAATTCAGGCTAAAGTCCTCTTTTTGATTAGAAAACCCAGGTGATCTTAATTTACTGGAAGGCTTCAGAGTATCTTTGAGTAAGGAGTTAATTCTCCATTGTGGATCATTTGTCTGTGTCTTAAGAGTATTGTGGGCTGTAATGTCACTTTTATCCATAAGACTTAGCAGAAGATGACAAAAATAGGTTTGATCGTGATATGTAGCACAAGTCTCTGTTATATATGTTACTTTAAAACAAAAAGCAGTAAAAAGTTTTTCCAACTAGAGGATATGGTCTCCGTCCAACTGGCATATGTTTTAGTTTAAGCAAATGTCCAAAATTCATAACTTAACAACCTTTTATTGTTATAAAATGAATATTTGTGCAGCAACTGATAGGAACTGTCAAAGAATAACTAAGGAAGAGAATTATGGGGAGCTGTCTGCAGTCAAGGGAAAGCTAGCGTTGTTTGAAAGATCAGTCAGTAACCCTGAGAGATCATTGGAGCATGGTACCGTTGTCTCTCTGAGGCCTCCAGGTTCTTCTTCTTATTTGGTCTCATCACTTTGAGTGTATTTAAAGTGTTAGAAAAATACTGTTCAATTTTCAAAATTTTCCTACTATTGATTTGCCAGCGTAAAACTGATACTTTCAGGAGCAAGGAACAAAGCTTGGTACCTCACAGACTGCATATATTAGCAGAGAAGTTTCTTTACTGTTATATCGCACTGCAAAAGAACAGATGCAACCATAATTGATATTGCAGCTTTAGAAATTACAAGCTAGAAATAAAATTATGGCTAGTGTTTCCTTATGTGGTAATCTAGGTAATCTACTGGATTACCATTTTATGTGCTTCCTCTCTTTTTCATTGATATCTGCAATATTTATACATCTGAATTTTACCAGCTCCATAGTCTTGAAAAAATATTCAAAGTTGTCTCTGCTGGTATTCATAAAAAACTGTGCAACATATCTTTAAGTAGGAATACACATTTTCGATGTGCCTTGGTATTTTGTAGTCAGGAAATGGAAACCATATTTTGTAAATTGTCTAGCAATAGTTTCTAGTTTCTACATGAGAGAATTTAACACAAAAGATTAAGATGAGAGAAAACACAAAAAAAAGTGATTAAGTGCTTTGAAATAGWAGAGCAAAAAAATAACCAGAAACTTTCAGTTACCTGAGACATCTGAGAAGATTTGTGTGTGAAGGTTCCACAGATAGGAAAAAATGTTATGGGACTTGAATTATTTACTTATTTCTTTGTGACATTTTGGCAATAATTTGATGTTTTGAGACAAATATTTGAAAAGGCATGGTTTCTGTCCTATGAGGCTAACAGATAATTGTGCCAAGGGGAAGTCCAAGGGGAACTCCATTTAACCAAGGGAAAGTCATGTTTGGTGAACCTGAGCTTTCTACGATGGGGTGACCCCACTGTAGCTTTCTACAATGGGGTGACTGGATGGATGAACGATGGGAGAGCCGTGGATGTTGTCTACCTTAACTTCAGCAAGGCTTTCGACACAGCCTTCTATAACATGCTCATGGAGAAGCTCCAGGAGTGTGCATTGGACAAGTAGACAGCAAGGTGGATTGAGACCTAGGTGGATGGCAGAGTCCATAGGGAGCTGAGTCCAGTTGGAGGCCTGTGGCCAGTGATAACCTGCAGGGGTTGATATTGGGCCCAGTGCTGTTCAACTTGTTCATCAGTGAGTTGGACAAGGGTACAGAGCGCAACCTGAGCAAATTTGTGGATGATACCAAGCTGGGTGAAGTGACTGACACTCCAGAGGGCTGTGCTGCCCCTCAGAGGGACCTGGACAGGATGGAGAGTTGGGCAGAGAGGAATCTCATGAGGTTCAACAAGGACAAGCACAGGGTCCTGCCCCTGGGGAGGCATAACCCCAGGCACCAGTACAGATTAGGGGTCAACCTGCTGGAAAGCAGCTCCACGGAGAGGGACCTGGGAGCCCTGGTTGACACCAAGTTAACCATGAGTCAGCAGCACCCTCGTGGCCAAAAAGGCCCCTGAGATCCTGGCCTGCATCAGGAGGATGTTGCCAGCAGGTGGAGGGAGGGGATCATGTCCCTCTACTCAGCTCTGGTGAGGAAAGACTAAGAGAGATGGGCCTGTTTAGCCTAGAGAAGAGAAGACTGAGAGGAGATCTGATCAATATGTCTAACTTGACAGGAGAAGGTAGGGAGGATGGGGCCAAACTCTTCTCAGTGGGGGCCAGTGATAGGACTAGGGGTGAAAAGAACAAGTTGCAACACAGGAAGTTCCATCTCCACATGAGGAAGGGCTTCTTTCCTGTGAGAGTGATGGAGCCCTGGAACAGGCTGCCCAGGGAGGTTGTGGAGTCTCCTTCTCTGGAGACTCCACACCCGCCTGGATGCCACCCTGTGGCACATGCTCTAGGCGTCCSTACTTGAGCTGGGAGGGTTGGACTAGATCCCTTCCATCCTTTCTGTGATTCTATGTGCTCCAGTGCTTTATTGATTGTTAGTTCATAACACTAGATAGATGTAGATTTTTTTCTTTACTTTCTGACTATATTTGAAGAGTGGTTAAATATTATCATAAACCAACTACCATCTGAAGAGACTTAGAGAAAGTCTAGTTTATTATTGTGTCAAGACAATCATCAGGAGAACTTGTGTCATAACAAATGAATCATATATTCAACC